AAAACTTTTAACTCTTGGTTGGTTCCTACTCTTTAAGCCTTTAATGCTGAATTAATACTAGTGGTGCCAATGGAAAGCTAAAAGTATTTAAAATTATTCCTTAAGAGATATAATTCCACTTTCAAAGACAGACATAATTCAGATAAAAACCATCACCTTTTAATCAAAATAAAGAGTGGACAAAGTATGGTCAACAAAACCTCTTAAAGAAAATCAGTTATATCTGACTACTAACAGGCAGCTTAGAGCTCTGTATAAAGTACTTTTCATGAGTTATTTTAGAATAAAAAATTTTCATCCATCATGATTTTAAGTGGCATTTAAAAAAACCCATTTAGGAGATTATACGGTAAGAGGGAATTACAAAGTATAAAACAATACCAAAAATGGTTCAATATAAATACCCATTAAAAATTGTACAGAAGAATATCCTAACAAAACTAGACCTTAGTATTTCTAATTCAGCTACATTTAATGTTTTAAGGCCAAAATCTGGAGGTTTATTGACAATGATGGATATCTGCTTTTCTGCAAGTTTCTTAGGAAAATCTATAAATATTTCGTTCATAATGTGTTAAAGTAAGCTTAACTAAGTCCTTCTCATTTTTAAAATGTAAGACTGCCTAGAGGGCGCCTGAGTGGCTCAGTCAGTTAAGCATCCAACTCTTGATTTTGGCTCCAGTCATGATCTTACAGTTCATGGTATCGAGCCCCATATGAGGATCTGTGCTGACAGCGCAGAGCCTGCTTGGGATTCTCTCTCTCTCCTTCTCTCTTGCTCTCTGCTCCCCCAATTGCACACCCTCTCTAAATAAATATTTAAAATATTTAAGTTTTCCCAGAAGAGTCTGACCAGTTGTATAGCTTATGTCAACTGTGAAAAGGTCTTCAACAGAATACTATTATTCTTAAACTGTAAACTATTACTCTCACAAAGCAGATACTGCCTCACCAACATAATAGGAATGATTCTTAATCCCTTCCCCTCACAAAAGCCATTAAAATTTATTTACTTAATATTAATTTACCATTAAAAGAAAGACTATCACCTGGGGCTTAGAAGACTATTTTATATTGAGATTTGTCTTGAAATTAAAGTCAACAGCATTTTAAGTCTATAGTATTAGGATAAGCTAAGAAAACTAGAATGTAGTTATTTTTTTAGAAAACAGGTGACCATAGCAAAGAATTTTGGTTTTCCTCAATCTGTGTAGCCCTTTCTAAAAAGTGCATAGTACTTCAGCATTTAGTTCATAGAAGTACACACATAAACTAGAGTAGTAGTAATTTTGCTTTTGTGTTTCAATTACACTTTAAAAAAATTTCTTTTTTGAGAGAGACAATCTTAAGCAGGCTCCACACTCAGCAAAGAGCTGGGATCATGACCTGAGCCAAATTCAAGATTGGACGTGCAACCAACCAAGCCAGCAGGTACCCCAAGATATCCTTGATTTTAATTTGTAATCTATTTACTATAAACATGTAGGTTGGATATGGTGTTTTGAATTAAATGAACCATATACTTAAAATTATCTTTTATAAAAGAGTAACCATCTACTCAACACCCATCTACCTCCACAAATTGGTACTCTTCTTAAGTTCACAGTTGGAGCATATTCCTAGAATATAAGATTCATATATCCCTTTTGCCTAAACAGAATAAAAACATTACAGTTCTGGAGAGAAAATACTACTGATGTGGTATAATAGTCTATATTTTCTATTTCAATCTTTTTCTCATAAGATTCCTTGAAGTAAAAAAAAAAAAAAAAGTATGTCATTATTGTATTGATTTAACTTGAGACAAATTGAATCAATCTGGAATATCTAACACTTCTATCAGAATACGTTTCTAAAAAACGTTCTTGATTCAATTATATTTGCTTAATTTTATAGGTATATAAGAAATACATTTTCCAGAGGGCCTAAATTGACCTCATAAACCAATGCCAAAGTTCATGATAACGATCCTAAATACCCCAATCATCAAGGGAGTGATTTAGATGCTAAGGTGTACAATCTCATTTAATACTCATCAATACTTGAAAGTGTTTCTGAGTCTAAAAGTCATGTCTCACTGAACCACTGGTCCTTAAATTCTTGGGAGTCATTGACTTGTTTGAAAATCTACAGGGGCTAGACCTAAAGCTTTGGTTCTATGATGCCAAGTTAACATCTCTCCACCAGACCATATTGTGTAAGTCAGTAAGTATATGTATGTAAACTCTACCCTCAACATGATACTTGAACTCATCACCCCAAGATCAAGAGTCACATGCTCTACCAAATGACCCAGCCAAGTGCCCATAAGTAGCATATATTTATCTACATACAAATACTCCACAAATATTCTACTGTTTGGAAAACAAATTTAATTTTTTAATTCTAAGAAAATACAATTTTAATATAGTTTAGAGGAATTGTAAAAGTATTTCTAAATACTTTTTCCTTTAAATTTTTACTATGTTTGCCTTTTGCAAAGGGATGAAAATAAAGGCAGACATCCTTATTTGTAATATAATGGTATGTCTTAGAATAGCTGTATCTCAAGTAAATATTACAAATGATATATAGTCTTGACATTAGTAATTTTCATTTAAAAATAAGTTAGCCCAGTGACAAAAGATTAAATCCTAGGCTCCAAATAAAAAAATCTGGCATATTCCACTGTTTGCAGCTGCAAAATATCAGCTGCTACTTGGAAATTATTCATGAGAAAAACAAGCTGTTGTAGTGGCCATTTTTATTTTGACATTAACTTCTCCAATCCTGAACAAATGTGGATAGGTAGTGCCCCTACACTAAACTTGAGAAGTACCTGAGTAAATATATTATCTTTAAAGGAAATGATCACAGATGTGTAAAACATTTGCTTTATTAACAATCTTACCCCTAAGTATTCTGTCTTAAATGGTCCAAGAAACAGTTGTGTAACAAAGTGAATCTTAGAATAGAGAAATACCCAGAAGACAATTTCTCAAGGAACTAGCACAAGTGTCAATTTCCACTAAGACACAGAACCCATTTTCACTTATAATCATTTATTTTCCTAATTCTATTTTCTCCTTTTCCTCTAAACCTTATCTTAGTTCAGCATATTATCTGTCACAGACTTCTTACAAAAAGCCTAACAGTGAGAAGCAGTTTGGAGTCCAGCCACCTACAACTCCAAAGTCTAATAACTGTATGATTTAGTGCATATCACTGAACCTTTCTGCATCTCACCCTCTTTATCTGCAGTGGTATTTTTCTCATACAGCTGTTGTGATGATGAGTGAATAATGTAAAACTTATAAAGCAGTGCCAAGTCAATGCTCAAAAATGTCTGAACTATTATTCCAGTTTTTCCATCAAAGCAAATAGTATCCACCTAAGAAGCCTAAATATTACAATGGAAAACCGAATCAGAGGTAAATCAAAGGATAAGCATGTTCAGAGACACTGCCATATTAAAAAATAAAAACAAGAAAAAGGAAACACTGCTGTATTAACTTTTTACTAAGATATAATTAAATGAAAAGTAAAGACACTATAATCAAATTCTACTTAGCATTTTGAATGACTGCATATATGTGTGGATAAAGCCAAACATTTAGAAATATAAAACATTACTATTAATAGTTGTCTGTTCTTCTTTGGACTATCCTTTAGATTTTCAACATTGCCATGTAATTTTATAACTAAATTTTATTACAGCTGAACACTTCAAAGAGTGTTCAAAGAGAACACTGAACACTTGAAAGAGAAACAAATTTTGCTGTGATCAGAGAAAACGTATTCAGAGAGTGCTGTACAGTATACATGAATTTATGGTACTTGTCCAAATATTACCAGCATATTATTTTGTAAAGTTGTTTCTTACATAGGGTCTAAAATGCAAAGAAAAATGGAATTTGTATTAAAAAAAAATAGAAGCAACACTGGCTTCTATATGCCAAAAATATAAGACAGATTTTTCTTACGCATTCTAGATACAAATATTAATTGTATGGACTGAGAACTTTTAATTTTCAATATAATTCAACAAAGTACACAAGTAGAACTCTATAAATATATCCCCTATAATAATCATATGCAAAACCATTTTATCACAAATACTACCAAAACCCTCTGAAAAACAAACTACAAACACATTTTTAAAGAAATTCTCAGTTTTAACAACTACAAAAGCAATATCAATAAAGTTATTTGGTTTATAAAAATGAAGGGCAGTGTAAAGTAAATCTGAATACCACAAAGCTTATAGAGGATGCAGTCTTGGATTCCTTACTACAAGTTACTAAACACTTTCAAAAATAATAGGACTTATTCTATACAATTTAAAGTCTTGAGCTAGAGCTCTAAGAAGAAAAAATTTAGTGGATGAAAAGTAGGTATGTAGAAATAATGTTATAAAATATGATTTTTATACAAAATGTACCACTACTCTTCAAATGTATAAGGCTTAATATGTGTATTTTTGGATTATGAGTGCTGTATACAATTTTTAGAGTAGTCTCCAACCATTCAAAATTCAGTATTTTTTATATGTTTTGATATTTCTGAAGTGAATGAACATGGTACAGGATGCAATTTAATGTCAACTTTATCTATGCTGTTCCACACAGTAAAAAGAAAAGCTTTTTTGAGCTCAGGAGATAGTTATCTTTTGAATTCTTGATCTCTATATAAATTCTTCTAGGAATGTCAGAATTTTATAATATGAACAAATATCCACAAGGAATTGGCCCAAGTTTAAAGAGAAGATACAACAGACACATAAGGTGTCAAATAGTTTAAGTCTTCCCTATGCAATTATACAGTCATAATTATTTTTTACATGAAAGTAAAAGTGCTTTAAAGTAAAAATCTTTTTGTAAAACCTATCAGTATTACTAATACTTAATTTCCAAGTAGAATTTTCTGTATTAGTTCCATTTTACCCATTTCTTTTGAAAAGTACCCTTTTGCCATAATATAAACAAAAAAAGGTCCATAAAATGGTGACATCAGACACATCATAATTTGTGGTATGGGCCGTTCAAATTGAGACCAAATCTTTATTAACCCAAAGCTAGAGAGATTTTATTTGTTGCACATGCCCAAATTAACTCACATTTTCTATAAGCCTTGAAGAATTTTTATTTAACATAATGAAAGGTTTAATGACTTATATTCAAGACTATATAGCACTCTTCTGCTGCTGTTCACCAGCTGTTTTTATGATGATAACTCCGAGATCTGGAATGTGATCGAAAATGAGAGTGTTTTGCTGTTTGTGCTTTAGCTTCAGAATTGGTATAACCCTTGGGAGATTTACAAGGGGATCTTGCTATGGAGTCAGAATGTCTTCCATGTGATCTTGATTTGGTTCCTGAGCTAGTCTGCTTTTGAGGTGAACTTGATTGTGATTTTCCTATTGACTTGGATCTTTTTGGTAAAGACTTAGACCTTGACCGTCCTCTAGAACCAGAATTCCTTCTTGGAGTTCTTGACTGCCTTGCTGAGGTAGACCGCCTTGGTAGTGATTTGGAGCGAGATTTAGATTGGCTATAAGAAAATCGCCTGTGTCGAGACCTGCAAATATCCAGAATGTTAAAGAGTATGTATTTCACACAAAAAACATTTAATAGGTTTAGAAACAGCAACTTCAGGAATTTATACATTTTATATAATATTAATTATAATTTTATTATTAAAATAAAAGAAACAATTTTAATTTTATTATGCATGCTTTTAGTTCAAATATAAGTACCAAGTTTGTAATATTTGTTATACTACAATCTATGACTAAAAGATTTTTACTTTGCTAGGTTTATCTTATGATACAGGTCAATTCTGAAAAAATGCCCTGCATAATAAATCTGGGTTATACAACTTCTAAGAGGTATGAAAATCTGAAGGGAAAAAAAGATGAAAAAAAAAAAGAGAGAGAGAAAGTAATTATTTTAGGTTTAACAAAAACCAAAACCAAATGTGTAGGACTTTTGAATCCCGCCACGATAAAGCAACTTGTATTAGACTAATCTTCCCATGGAAAACAGCTATATAAAGAAGCAAAACAATGTTTGTAAGACAACTGTTTAAAGGTATTAGAGAATAACCAACCAACCCTAGCAGAACTTGAGGGGTTATAAACCATGGATCTTTTACGAAGACAGTGTTCCAAATTTTGGCATGGTGGAATTGAACCCAACCAGAATATGGCTATTTGACTAAGCATAAGATACAAGTTAGGATTCAGGGGCTACTTTTTACTAAAGAGGTAAAATCTCAGAGATCAGAAAATGACAGCAAAAAAAATCTCCTAAAATTTGCCTACCAATTTTCTTCAGGTCACTGGCGGCCATGTTTTAAAAGCTGTGCACTTGGAGAATGAGACTCCGAGGTCAGCAAAAATAGCAGTTGGAAGATTCAAGAATTAAGATGAAATTCTATCAGAAACATGGTGCTGGGGAGATAGGCTGGAGTTCAAGCCCCCAAAGGTCAAAGAGCCTTGAGTAACAAACTAGGCTTTCAATTAAGAACCCAGAAGGGCCGTATCCTACAGGTAAGAGCCATGCCATAAAAATAAGTGTAAAGCTAAAATAGATCAGCCTTAACAATGCCTCAAACCAAGCCATGAAGGGACCAAGGTAACCTGCCAATACTCCACCTGCTAAAAGAAAACTTTCTTTGGAGAATGTCATCCAAAGCACTGCAAGTTTCCATCAACAATGTCCAACATCCAATAAAGAAATCCATGAGATATGTCAAAAATAGATAAAAATGGCTAAATGCTAAGGAAATAAAAGACAAAAAAAAAAAAAAGACCCAAAGTAATTTGGATATTCAGACAGGAGTTTTTAAAAATTACTATGACTAGGGGCGCCTGGGTGGCTTAGTCGGTTGGGCGTCCGACTTTCGCTTAGGTCATGATCTCGCGGTTCGTGGGTTCGAGCCCCGCGTCGGGCTCTGTGCTGACTGCCGGCTCAGAGCCTGGAGCCTGTTTCAGTCTGTGACTCCCTCTCTCTGACCCTCCCCTGCTCGCGCTGTCTCTCTCTCTCTCTCTCTCCTAGAAATAAATAAAACATTTAAAAAAGAAAAAAAAATAAAAATAAAAAAAATAAAAAAAATAAAAATTACTATGACTAATGTGTTCAAGAAAATAAGAAAAGACAGGCAAAATGTTAAAAAAAAATGGAGAAGTTCACCAGAATACTGGAATCTATAGAAAGAAACAAATGGACATTTTAGAAATGAAAATATATATCTGAAATGTAAAAGTCATTACATCAATTTAACATCAATATAGATATAGAAGAAAAAGTGAACTGAACTATAAAAGAGATTATTAGAAAAACATATATACTGAAACACAATGAGAGAAAAGGAATTTTAAGAAACCCAGAACAAAGCCTAAAAGATAGGTACTACACAGTCACACAGCCAAGGAGAAAAACTGAATGAGGCAGAAGCAATGTTTGAAGAGATAATAGCCTCGAATTTTCCTAAACTAATGAAAGGCATCAACTCACAATTTCAAGCAGCTCAGTAAACCCTGGAGAGTAAGACATCTTACTTTAAAGGAGTAACATTAAGACTGACAGCTGACTATTATATCAAGAAACAATAGAGTAATTTTTTTAAATGTTTATTTATTTATTATTTTTTTAATTTTTTAATGTTTTATTTATTTCTAGGAGAGAGAGAGAGAGACAGTGTGAGCAGGGGAGGGTCAGAGAGAGGGAGTCACAGACCGAAACAGGCTCCAGGCTCTGAGCCGGCAGTCAGCACAGAGCCTGACGCAGGGCTTGAACCCAGGAACCGCGAGATCATGACCTAAGCGAAAGTCGGACGCTTAACCGACTAAGCCACCCAGGCGCTCCAATGTTTATTTATTTTTGAAAGAAAGAGTGTGAGTGAGGGAAGGGCAGAGAGAATGAGACAGAGGATCCAAAGCAGGTTCCGTGCGGAGAGCACAGAGCCTGATGTGGGGCTCAAACTTACAAATCATGAGATCAAGACCTGAGCTGAAATCAAGAGGAAGATTCAACTGACTGAGCCACCCAGGTGCCTCACTAGTTTTGTCTTTTTTTTTTTTAATCCATATCCACTAAACACAAAATAAGAGACCTCTTTTTAGTCTAAGATAATACCCCTTATACTGTATTTACTTATAGTATGTTAGGCTTATACTGATTCATTCACACACATGCACACAGAAAATTGATCCTTATGAATATCATGAGTGCTAGGTAAGATCTACATTCTCTTTAATACAATTATACAAATGAAAAAACCTGAGGTCAGAGAAGTTAAGCAATGATTTTATGATGAGTACAAAACAAAACAGAACTGTCTTACAAGAAGATGTGGTTCTTTCTATTCCTGATACTCCATGAGGATTTGGGATAATTGATGAACACTTTTTTAAAAACAACTAAAACCTATTTTTTTAATGTTTTATTTACTTTTGAGAGTGAGAGCACAAGTGAGGGAGGGGCAGAGAGAGAATGGGAAAGAGGATCCCAAGCAGGCTCTGCACTGACAGCAGTGAGCCCAATGTGGGGCTCAAACCCACAAACCTTGAGATCATGACCTGAGCCGAAGTCAGACACTCAAAACAACTGAACCATCCGACAGACATTTTAAAATTTTCTCCAGCTAAGTGTCATACTTTACTTTCACTAGAAAGCATAAAATGATGTGAACATTCACCTTTTTTAGATTAATCAGGAGAAAAACTAGGTAATTATGTCTCTATTACATTTGGCAAACAACTGACATTCCCAATCAGTCAAATGGGCAATTTACTTCTTTTTTCTTTCATAAACTTAAGTCTTTTTCACAAAGGCCAATGAATATTATTCAGTAGGTTACAACAGTGCTGCGTTAGGCACAATATTATACCTACTTTGATCTCTGATCTGTAAATCATTCATTTTATACATACCACTTGCATCATTCTAAACTTATGATAAAATATATATGTACAGTTTCTATATATGGATAGTTATATATATAGACATAAAATATGTGTACAGTATACAGATATAAATTTCATAGTAATGTAAACTGTTGAACATTACTCCCTTATATCCTCTGTGAAATCAGAAGCAGTAGCACTGTTATCAGTGTGGCTTTCCTATATACAAGGCATGTAAAAATTTTTTTAAATCTTGATTTGCTCTATGTTTTAAGTTCCATAAATATAATTTTGTACTTGAGTACAGAAACTGTGTATCAGTCTAAATCTCAAATAATTAATCAATGGGAAAATGGCTTTCCCTTAGCCATGGATAAACTTGACTGTTCTCCATAGATGCAAAGGAAGTTTATATTCTTATACTATCAGAGAAAATACGATAAAAAGGATTAAGTTCCTGTTAGGACTATTTCTAAATATTTCTTCACCAATCTTGGTAGTGGCTCAATCCTGACTGGGTTCTCCTGAATTATAAAAGGTGCTTAGGGCTTCCTCCCTGCTTCATGCCTCCATAAGGACGGGCCAAATCAAGGTATTTGTTCACACCCAAAGAGAGATACTGAACTAATATGCAAGATTGTAGAGTTCTGACATGGCCATATTTTCCAGCAATCAGGATTCCTGGATATTAAAAAAATCATAGAATGTAGATGTAGTTCTCACTTCTTATCTTTGACTTCCACCTGGCTGGAGGGACTGGAGCCAGATCACTCCACAGTCTTGTTTTTAAATCTAGGAACCTGGGGCAAAGACTAACTTTCTAGCTCTGGTACATATACGTATACTGGGCTTTTTCTTGGCTAGGCTCTTGGAGTTGAGGAACGGAGGGCCCAGAGAGAAACTGAGCAGCCCTGGTGATCTTTCATCTGAAGTTATGTGGGCTTGTATAGAGCTTAGGTGTACTATGTGTGGCCCAGGAGGGCTCTTATTTCTCACAGAAAAAGGATATTAGTGTAAATGCTGATAATTTTTTTTTTTTATTATTATTTAAATGCTGATAATTTTTAAAAAATAATTTTTAAATGTGGGGCGCCTAGGTGGCTCAGTCCTAAGCCAAGCGTCCGACTTGGGCTTAGGTCATGATCTCACAGTTCATGGGTTCAAGCCCCGCATCAGGCTCTGTGCTGACAGCCAGCTCAGAGCCTGGAGGCTGTTTAAGATTCTGTGTCTCCCTCTCTCTGACCCTCCCCTTTTCATGCTGTCTCTCTCTCAGAAATAAAAAACGTTAAAAAAAAATTTTTTTTTAAATGTTTATCTTTGAGAGAGAGAGAGAAAAACAAGGATGAGCAGTGGAGGGGAAGAGAGAGGGAGACACAGAATCTGAAGTAGGTGCCAGGTTCCAAGCTGTCAGCATAGAGCTGGACGTGGGGCTCAAACTCATGGACCAAGAGATCATGACCTGAGTTGAAGTCGGATGCTTAACTGACTGAGCCACCCAGGCGCCCCTTGTTTTTTTTTTGTTTTTTTTTTTAATAGTAAACTCTACACTCAACATGGGTTCAAACTCATGACCCCAAGATCAAGAGCAAGAGTTGCCTGCTCCACTGACTGAACCCCAATACTGATCATTCTTAAGGAAAATTTACCTTAAAATGTTACATGCCTACGAAAAAACTACAGCATTAAAACTCAAGAAAAATACTACAATTATTTAAGAACTTAAAAATGCTAATACAATTTCAGTTATTTAAATAGCTTCACCAAGTTATTAATTTTCATTGTGATTTACTATTGTTCGAACAGAAACAAAGTCCTAGCTAGCAAAATAAATAACCTGCATATATCTTTTTCTGAAAAAACTTACTATTTTCATGTCTTCTTATAATAGTACCATACTTGTAATTTATTTTTGAAAATAATTTACCTTTTATAAATATATTGATTTATGTTAATTTTAAGTTCAACCTCCTTTCACAAGTGATTATATTTCTTATGAGTTTTTATTTATTTACTTACTTATTTTTTTATTTTTATTAAAAAAACTTTTTTTAGCGTTTATTTATTTTTGACAGAGAAAGACAGAGCATGAGTTGGGGAGGGACAGAGAGAGGGAGACACAGAATCTGAAGCAGGCTCCAGGCTCTGAGCTATCAGCAATGAGCCCGAAGCAGAGCTCAAACCCACAAACTACTAGATCATGACCTGAGTGAAGCCTGCCGCTTAACCAACTGAGCCACCCAGGCACCCAATCATCAGAACTTAAATTGTTAATTACTGTGTTCAGTTAGGAAAATTTCATTTTTTAAATTCTATTTTATTTGTCAAGTATACATTTAAAAAATTTTTTTTTCTTCAGTACATATTTCTTTTCTATTAAGAAAGATTAAAATTAAGTCTATCATGAAATAAAAACATTGGAAGGTATCCAATAAACCCAAGTTAAATTAACGATACACTTCAAATAGAGAGGAGTGTATCTTTTTTTTTTTTTTTACAGTTGACCTTTATGTATATTAAACAAAATGATTCTGAGCCAGGCCTGTTTTTGAATACTCTTTAAATGTTTTCCAGAAAAAGTAGAAAATTAAGTTTTTAATACTTTTGTATTTTGTACTCACTCTTTAAGGCTATCAGATCGTCTCCTATTTCTTCCCCATGAAGAACTTCTACTTCGAGTTCTCCGTTGGCTGGGGCTTCTTGATCGCCTATGATCACTTGGAGAACAAGGGTGACGTTCTTTTGATTTCATTTGGCCTGGTGCTAGAATATGAAATAATTTATTACCTGAAAACCTCAGTAACAACTACTCAAATAGTATTCTTTTCTGAAAGAATTTGAAATTTAAAAAAATCTGTCAGAGCTAAAACTCATTCTGCTGAATAAACAAGATCTAATGTTTAGTCACACTTACTTTTTCGATCACCTTGTGCAAACTGTATTTCAATTTGACGGCCACATACCCACTTTCTATTGAGGTTATAAAGAGCATCTTCAGCATCGCGAACATCTTCAAATATGACTAGTTGTTAAGGATACTTTGAACATCAGATATCAAGTAAAAATATTATTTTGGAAGAATTATTTACATGTGACATGAAATTAACAGGAAAAACAACTCCAAGTTATTAAGCTCACATCCCATATATATATATATATATATAATCAGAAAAAAATTCACTTTTATTATGAAAACAAATGCCCCCTTATGATTTACAAGAATCTAAGAGAACAAAAACAAACGTGCAACTACACTTCTAATATACACATTAGTGTAGCTGCAATATGCACTTATAATGTGAAAGAACATGGTATGAGAAAGAAAAATGTCCAACATTGGCTAGGATTAAAAAAAATTGTTTACGACTCACTCCTTTCTTTCATGTAAAAGATTCATCAGGTTTTAAGTATACAGAAGACTTTATTCTAAAATTACGAATACTCTTTCACTAAAAGCCTTTTTGAATATGACATTTAGGAAAAATTATTTATAAACAAAACTGCAAAGACACATGTAACCTAAAACATTACACCTTTAAAAATGATATTTACTTTTGAACCTACTATTTTAAAATACTTTTATGTTTTATTACTTGGGATATAATTATAAAAGAAACACAAAAGCAATCTGTGAACATCTGGAATTACGTATATTGGTTTGTAATACCCCACTAAACTTCCTTATCTATGTAAATTATATATTAAACCTAACTAAAATGGAAATAAACTATAGAAAATGACTACCTGTTTTTCAGGAGGTTGTTCACTAGTTTAATTTTTTAAAAATAGAAAACAAAAAAAGCTCAAGAAATGCAATACAAAATGAGACTTTGGCAATTACCTCAATGTCACTTGATCTTGAACCTTGACCTTTACTCTTTAAGGCTTGCAAGATGGACTTTATAAGAGACGCAGAACCAACAAAATCAGACTTGGCTTTGACTCTGGAACTCTGAATATATGTAGGAAAGCCGAAGTCTCAACCTGTTGTTGGCTTTGTCTTTTGCTTGATAAAGACTTCCCCTCTTCCAGGTCTTTATATCTGTGTCCACCCTCCCTCTTTACTCCTCGATGCTTGAACTTTAGGTGCCTTTTTTCTTGCCTGCTCGGTTTATGCTTGGTTTCTAGCTAACAGGTTGGTTCAAACTGGGGGGTGCTTGCCAGCTACTGTGGACTGCTTTAGATTTTCTGAGATAGAGAAATAAACACATTTAATTAGGCAATATTAATCTCATAACATAAGCTCCTGAATACACATGCATATCTGCACAGATACACAGTACATTCACATGCACACAGTAAAACAAAGGATATTGAACATAAGCAAATCCTCTTGGGCGGCGGGTGTAGAAGTCAAGTGGAATGTAAACGTCTACTATAGGGCCATATCGACCAAACTCACGGCGCAAGTCCTCAGGCCTGAAGTGTTTTAGAAATAAGGCAAAGAAATATGAATAGCTGGATTAAAATATTTTGCCTATGGAAATCCAATTGTAACCTTCAAAAGAAAGTATTATCTAGATTAGTAACTAAAATTGTCGCAACAATCACCCAAGGTTTAGAAAGGAGGAAAAAGGAAAGTAAATAAATCCTCAGGCCTCACTTGTAGAGACTCTGATTTATTTTATTTTTTTTTAATTTTTATTTATTATTTCTAGGAGAGAGAAAGAGTGAGCAGGGGAGGGTCAGAGAGAGAGGGAGTCACAGACTGAAACAGGCTCCAGCCTCTGAGCTGGCAGTCAGCACAGAGCCCGACGTGGGGCTCGAACCCACGAACCGCGAGATCATGACCTAAGCGAAAGTCGGACGCTTAACCGACTAAGTCACCCAGGCACCACAATAGAGATTCTAATTTAAAAGATCTGCATTAGGGGCTGGAAATGTGTATTTTTATAAGCACTCCAGGTGGCTGTTATGCTTAATCGGATTGGGGAAAAAAAGGACCCAGGAAAATTATTATCCATCTTTGAAAGTTACACTTATTAAAAGATATTTCAATTGTCAATATAAAGAGTTCTGTTAACTATTTCATTAAGAATGCATTCATTTGCCTCACTATAATTTCATGTGTATGCTAATTTTATTTTCAGATGACAAGGTTAGATGCTAATGAAGTCCTCAAATTATTTTATTTCTCAAGCTTTAAAATGTTTTACTATTAAACATAGCGCAAAATAACTGCCATAATCTTAAATCTGACAAGTATTTTTAAGCCTCCTATATACATTCTACTGTGATAGGTACTAAAGAAGGGACATCAAAGGAATATTTAGCTTATTCGTCTTCATGTAGCAACAACTTAACTGAAAAGACAAAATACTTAGCATCTATAGCTGACAATTATACTGCATTTATAATCCAGCTACTATTCACCTTAACTTTAACAACTTTATGGTTGTTTAAAGGTTAGGGCACAGACATATGAATTCACCTAAGGTCAGCAAGCCAGCAAATGATAGAACTAGAATCAAACTTCCACAACCTGACACCAGTCTGTGTTCTTAATCACTGCACCTACCACCTCATGGAGATCTTAGAGATTCACCCTCAAGCTATGAGCACAAAACATGGCCCAGAAGAAACAGGAGTACTTCAAAACATAATACACAGAAAGAAGACTCAATGATGACTGCAGAGCTGCTGGCTTGGGCAAATGGAAGGAAGTGTCAGTGACAAAAATTAGCTGGAAAAGAGAAGTTAGATTGTCTAGGGAGGAGAGAGGCAAAAGAAATGCTGGATTTGAGGTGATGGCAGAACATCCATAAGAGCTCTGTAAACTGGGGGCATGGCTGGCTCAGTAGACAGAGCATGCAACTCTCAATCTCAGGGTTGTGAGCCTGAGCCCTATGTTGGGTGTAGAGATCATTAAAAAAAATATTTAAGAAACAGTTCTGTAAACAACTGAAAATTATGATTAAATAATTTTACTTTTCTTTCAAGACTAAAAGTAAGTGATTAAAGCTAGAGATGTGAATTCAACTATGATTAAATGTCCACTATATACCAGACAGTGCAACTGACATCACATCCTTTATTGTATTTTGTTTCATTTAATACTTATTATAAAATGCTTATCTGCCTTCCCCGAAACTATTACCTTTAGAGGGTAGTGACAATGTCTTTTTTTTAATTCATTCAACAAATACATACTGAGCACCTACTCTGGCTAGGCTCTAGGGATGTGATGGAGAACAACATTCCTGCTGCCACAGAACAGACCACAGGGTAATGATTCTCAACCATTCCTGAGTATTGGAATCATTTGCAAAGGAGATGATATAGAAACAGGTACTCCAGCCTGATGCATTAACCCTAGTTCCAATCAGTACTTCCCCTGGTGGGCCCTAGGTAGGTTTAGTTTTTTAAAGAGTTTCACAGGAAATTCTGAGAATCAGGGTTGAGAACCACTTTTAAAGCAGGTGTCTTCACCAGTGTACCTACCTAGCACAGTTGGTTAGCACAAAGTAGACACTCAAAATATTGACTTAGCATTTAGTAATTATTGTCAAGGAGACTAAGAATGAGAGGTTACCTTGCCCAGAGGTACATACAGCCAGCAGCAAACCTAGACTTCAAATGAATGTTTTCTGAGGCAGGCAATCCCATCAACAAATGTGAATGGCTGACAGGAAAAGGATCTTAGATGGTATAATGGAGGTTGGAGCAATGTGTGTAACGGAGGCTTGGAATCCCAGAAGCCAAGGGTGACAGGAATCTGAAGGAGCAAAACTTCTCAAAAGAGCTGGCTCCCATTGTCACCACTCCCACAGCTGTTAGCTGTTGTTTTGTTCTCATTTATTTTTGTATTTTTGATGTCATTTTGAAATTCAGAAAATTAGAGAATACAATAAACACCTATGAATCCACCAAGATTTATTATATCTCAATACGTGTCATCATTTTCAGTAATTTTTTTTAGAAACGAGACATATTATTCTACCTTAGAGACAATCATATATTCATCATTCCTCTGCATAACTTTGTATTTTTACTATAAGTTAATATGTCATAATTACATGTTTTTGCATATATCAAACTTCATATAAATGGTATCAGGCTATTTGTATAATTTTACTCCTTGCCTTTTCCTCCCTTGAGATTTCTCTATGTAGTCTAGTACACTCATTTTAACTCTGTATTGATATTATCAATAAATCACAATTTACTTATCCATCTTTCTGTGGAAAAACATTTAAGATGCTGCCTGTTGGATGTATCACAATGCAACAACTGGTGGGCTGGAGAGCAGGCTTATCTTCAGCTTGACTACTTGCTCTCCAAAGTGACCAAATAAGTTTATACTCCTCAAAACATACATAAGAATTCCCATTACTCCACCTCCTCATTAACATTTTTAATTCTTATCATCCTGAAGGATATAAAGTGAATGGATATCTTACTGTTGTTTTAATTTTAATTTACCTAATGACCAGATAGGTGCAACATCTCATGTGTATGGGTCAATTATTTCCTGTTAATACCTATCAGCTGTATTTCTGGGTTAAAGAGGATGTGTATATATGTAATTTTTATGAAACTGCCACACAGGCCTGCAAAATGGCTGTACCATTTTATACGCCCACCCACAATGTATGAGTTTCAGTTCTGCCAACTTTAGTTAAGCACTTTCTATTGTCAGGGTTTTGTTGTTGTTGTTCTAGTTTTTTTTTTTAATTTTAGCCATTCAAGCAGGAGTTACGTGGAATCTCACTGTGGTTTTTTTTGGTTTAATGTTTACTCATCTTGAGAGAGAGAGAGAACATATGAGAGGAGTAGGGGAAGGGGGAGGGGGAGGGGAAGAGGAAGGGGGGAGGGGGGAGGGGAAGAGGAAGGGGGGAGGGGGGGAGAGAGAGAGGGGGAGAGAGAGAGAGAGAGAGAGAATCCCAAGCCTACTCAATCGATCGCTGTCAGCAGAGGGCCCTATGTGGGGCTTGGCCCCACAAACAGTGAAATCATGATTTGAGCCTAAATAAAGTTGAATGCTTAACCAGCTGAGCCACCCAGGCGCCCTCTCACTGTGGTTTTAATTTGCACTTCCCAAATGACAAATGATCTCAAGCACTTTTTCATGTGCTAATTTTCCTTGTGAAGTGTCTGTTGGAGCTTTTTGCCAATTTTTAATGTTTGTCTCTTTTATTATTGAGTTATAAAAGTTCTTTAAGTCCTTTGTATTGCTTTGTGTATGTTTTGTGGATATTTTCTCAGTCTGTAGCTTGCCTATTTACTCTCTTAATAGCATTGTTTAAATGAACAAGAATTCTAATTTTAAATTAAAGAAATCTAATTTTTCAATATTCTTTTCTCTCTTATGGGAATTGCTTTCTCTGTCCTGTAAGAAATTTTTGCCTATCTCCAGGTCATAAAGACATTCTTCTATGTTTTCCTCTAAAAGCTTTGTTTTGTTATCTTTTCCATTTCAACTGAGGATCCAGCTCAAATTATAATGTCAAGCAGAGGCTGCAGTTCATTTTCCCCAGTATGCATTGTCCATTTGTTGAAAAGATTTTCCTTTTTCACTGTAGACTGCTATGGTACCTTTGTCAAAAATCAGCTGGCTCTGTAAGTATAGATTCTTTATGGACTCTCTATTCTGTTCTATTCATCTATTTGTCTATCCTTAGGCCAATAATCACATTGTCTTGATTACTATATATTTTTAGTAGGTTTTATGTCAGGTAAGTCTTCCATTCAGTGATCTTTTTCTAGATTATTTTGGCTATTCTAGATCCTTTACATATCAATGTATTTTAGAATTAATTTGTCAGTTCCTTTTTCATGTATTTTTCAAGTTTATTTATTTATTTATTTATTTATTTATTTATTTTAGTAATCTCTATATCCAATGTGAGGCTCAAATTCACAACCCCAAGATCAAGAGTTGCACACTCTGACTGAGCCAGGCAGGTACCCTCAGTTTCTATTTTTCAAACAGCTTTTGATCAGGAATGCCTTGAATCTATAATATGATCAATTTGGGAGAGAACTGATAACTTAGTATTTTGTCTTTGAATCCAAGAACATGGTATATCAATTTATGTTTTCTTTAAGTTCTCCTGGCAGTGTATGGTAGTTTTTAGTGTAAAGGTTTTTATTACATGTTTTATTGTTGTTGTTCTTGTTAAATTATTTCTAAGTCTGTTTTTTGATACTTAGGCAAATTAAATTGTTTTAAAATTTTCATTATTTTCAACGGTTTGCTAATATATAGAAATAGATTTTTCCTAAGTTTATCTGGTATCCTGATAACTTACTTACTAACTCATTACTTACGATAGGTTTACATAAACATGTCACCTAAGCATAAGGACACGTTTTGCTTCTATCTTTACAATTTTTATGTCTTTTATTTCTTTTTCTTGCCTTGTTACCTGGTTAGGGCCTGCAACAAAATGATGAATTGAGGTTGGAAGAGTGGGCATCTTTGGCCTGTTCTGATCTTAGGGGGAAAGCATTCAGCCTTTACCAATAAGTATCTTATTAGCTGTAGGCTTTTCAGAGGTGCCCTTTATTGGGCTGGGGAAGTTCCCTTCTATTCCTAGTTTGTTGACACTTTTTCTCGTGAGTCTTGCTGAATTCTGTTTAATGCTTTTTCTGTATCACCATCAATATTAATATAGTCTTATACACACTGTAGCCAAAGAATGCTGCTAATTATATCCAAACGAGGTACTTGATGGTTGTTCCCCAACGTAACATGAGGTTATGCATCAAAATGAGAATGTTGTATTTGGAATTTGACATTACTCTGTTCCATCACTGTATCTGACATTTAAAAAAAAAATTATTCTCCTACATAGTGAAAAAGCAAAGATATTAATATTCTTCCTGATCCAGATCTTGTTTCACTAGTGAAAAGAAAATACAAGTTATAACAGCATGAAATGTATTTAAGAAATTTTTTTAAAGGTTTTTAACATTTTTAAAGTAATCTCTACACCCAACGTGAGACTTGAACCGACAACCATAAGGTCAAAAGCTGCATGTTCCACCGATTAAGCCAGCCAGGCACCCCTAAAATGTATTTTTAAGATTTAATCTTTAGTTCTTATGCTCAATTTCATGCCTAAAAAAATTTAAGCTAAGCCATAACACCTTTTAATGTCTTGTGCTTTATGACACATATTAAAATGGCTACTGCAAAAGAAGCATTTAAAAGAAAAATTCACAGAGCCCAATATAGGGCTTGAATTTATGAACTGTGAGATCATTACCTGAGTCGAAGTCAAGAGAGGGATGCTTAACTTTAAAAAATTTTTGAAGTTTATATTTTTTATTTTGTGTGTGTGAGAGAGAGCGAGCACATGGGAGGGGCACAAAGAAGCGTTTTAATAAAATTTGGCTTTGTTATAAAACATTTTATTAAATAAAATTTGAAAACAGGAAAAGGAAAATCACTCAAATTGATTTCTTTTCAGGGTTATTTTCTATAGTTTTTCCTTTCTTCATTTTATTAATATAATTGAAATCACACTGTATATATAATTTCATGCCCTATTTAGCATTTATACCAGTGATTTTCTTTACAGGCACACTAACGGTTAAAGGTAACTTCAAATGTGTCTGGTTGCCATATTGCTAGTTAACTTACACTGCATGCCACTCTGTACAAAAAAGCTCTTAATACAGGTTACATGTAATGATTCTACCTTCACAAAACTACTCAGCAGCTGGGATATTTTAGGTAAGAAACTTAATTTCTCCAAGCCTCAGTTTTTAATCTGTGAAATGGGATTAATAAAGAACATACATTACAGGGTTATTGTGAAAATTTAGTAAGGTAACATATGCAAAGTGTTTACAGTGTTTAACACAGTGAATACTCAACAAATATCAGTGATTATTATTCCATTAATACTAATCTAGATGACTGCCCCCAGTGGCAGTGCTAAAAAGTGGTAAAAAAAAAAAAATTGGAAATCAATAAATCTCAATTTTCAGTCTTGATTACTAATGGTGGATTATCTAGATTAGAGATCACGTGCCATGTGATGTGTTTTATTTGTCCAGCACAGCATTTAAAAAAATTTTAAGGCGTGCTGAAGCACAAAACTGCCAATACTTTCCAGCTTTTAAACCTACAAAAAGAGGAATCTCATATGATTCGATGTAATAAATGCCAGCATTTTGAAACAGAATCCACACTCAAACACAAGTTTCTGATTTCTTTAGAGAATTAGGACTATGTGGCAACAAGTGCAAATGTCTATGTAGTAGCTAGTTGGAGCCAGTAGTACCCGCTGCCACCCCCTTTACATGGCCATGTATTCTTTTCTATCCGCTACAGTCCACACCGTCCTATTGTGCCTTAGAACCCAACAACTTCACTCATTCATATTACCCTGGCTGGACACTGTTGACCACTGGAACTGGAAACCTCTCTTTTTTCTTTGTAGACACACCAGAAAGACTAGATGCTTCCTTAGCATTCAGGTGGTCTCTAACTGTGGGACTTTTTTTTTTTTTTTTTTAAACCTGCCCCAATTATAAACATTTGTTTCCTATGTATTGATAAGCGGGTTGAGAGGTGAAATAGAAACACAGGCATCTTTTAGACATTATTAAGGTATTTTAACCCACACACTATAGTTGTGACATACATAACAGTAGAGATCAAATAAAAAAATACTTAACACTTACTCCTCAAAGGTAAATTACAATGATTCCTCTAGATGGCTCTGGAGTCAAGGGCTCCAATATTTAGATGTCTGAAGCCATTAAGCCCAGTTAAATCACTAAAACTCTGAGCTTCAAATTTTCCGTATATACTATAAAGATGCTATTTCAGACCTAAAAAGGTTGAGTGGGAAGTAAATTAAGTAAACCCAGTGAAATGGAAATGTCTATTTATGCCCCTATCTCACCCTCTATCATTCTTTCTGGCTCCTCTTAAGGGAGAAAGTGCTTTATGATGAAGAAGTCATTCTTTAATATTTATGTTTAAGCACTATGTAGGCAAGAATTGTCAAGGCGGGGAGGGTGATGTGTGGACCGAGAGCATCTCACCGGACCAGGCAAGTCTAACCCAACCATATCATGGGTGTTTATATTGCATTCTGAACTTTATAGAAAAACATAAATCTCATTCACTGAAGCCATCCTTTGTATTGTGTAACAAAATGTAATCAGCATCCCTTGTAAGCAGACCACACTGAGAGAACGGAAATAGTAAGGCCCAAGGTACGCATTATTTTATAATACGTTCTCACCATCCCCAATTCCTCTTCATGTAGGACACAAGACGCGCAGCTTTAAAGGGTTACGGCGACAAAGGAGTCGAATCGCAGGCAATGGCCCGAGGGAAACACTGTCGGCCAGGGGCGGGGAGGCACCTTGGCTACCGGGAAAGCAGGAGCCTGCGCGCCGCCGGTCCTCAAGCAAGGGATGGGCACCGATCTCCCGGGCTCGGGGCCCGGTCCCAGCGGTGCGCTGCGCCGGGGCGGAACGCCGGCCGGGAGAGGGGAGGCGCTAGTCCCGGCCTGGAGTAGCCCGAGGATTCGCACCGCTCCCGGGAAGGACGCCTCCGCCGACAGCACAGGCCCGGCCAGCGGCCGGGCAGGCGCCAGGCACAGCCGGGGGGCCGCGACCCGGCTCCGCGATTCTGCCGTTACCCGGCCCCTCCCCCGCGCGCCAACCTGCGGCCGCAGCCGCCGCTCACCTGGTGGCGTCTGCGACGTTCCTGACGAACAGGGAGGTGTTGGGGGGCCTCGTGTAGCGCGACATGACCGCTTCCTCCGGTGCCTACGGGCCTGCCCGCGGCCGCCAGGCTCGCTCCGTTTCTCGCAGTTGCCGCTGCCGCCACAGCAGCTCCGCCGGCCCCCGGCGCGACCCCCTCCCCTCGGCCTCGGCCCCGCGAGCGCGCAGCCGCAGAGGCGGGCGCGGGGCGGGGGGGCGCTGCGCCGCGCGAGCTTGTCCGTGCGGACCGCGCGGGGGCGGAGCCCGAGCCGATGGGATCCGGGGAGGGGGCGGCGCGGGGTCCTGAAGATCCAGGGAGGAGGGGGCGGTGCCGGGGTCCGCCAGGATCCGGGAAGGGGCTGCGCAGGAGTCCCGGGGTGCGAAGAGATCCGGAGAGAAGACGGCGCGGGGTCCCGCAGACCGAGGGAATCTGAAAAGAAAGGGGCGGTGCAAGAGAGGATCTGGGAGGGGGCGGTGTGGCAGGGTCCCAGGTTCCGAGGAGATCTGGGGATGGGGCGGTGCCGAGGTACGCGGGGATCCCGGGAGGGGGCCAGGCTGGAGGCTGGAGTCCGAGGGGTCTGGAAAGGGAGCGGCTGGGGTCAGAGTGTGTCAGGAGGGCGGAGGCCAGCGGGGTCCTAGGAGCTGAGGCTGGGGTTAGAGGATCCGGAGAGAGGGTGTCGGAGTCGTCGGAGAGGGTGGAAGTGAAGGTTGAGTTCAACTGCTGAATAACTGGATGGCCCCTTGGGGCCCTCATCCCTACGTCCTCGGCGCAAGACCTTGGAACTTGTCCTCCAACGGTTCCTTTAGCCCCGAGCCTAATAAGGGTTTCAAAATGAGAGGATTCGAGGTTTTGTCTGTATTTTGATTCTTCACTTAGGGCACACTATTCAGCTGTGGGTACGTACATTTAGATGTTTACTGAATGCCTGCGATGCACCAGGAATGTGCTAGGTGTGGGATATAGTCCCAACCCTTACTCTAGAGAGAGGGTCCAACAATAAACAAATGAACGAATGAATACGTGATGTAGAAGAAAGCAATGAAAAGGCAGTGGCAATTAAGCAAATGTAAAGTTTCCTCCTTCCCTTGTTCCAAAAGGTAGCCCAGCCGTTTCTAGTTGCCCTCCTGCTTTCAAGTTTACTCTTGTTATCGGCACAGCCCATTACCTGACACCTTAACCAGGTAACTTGTTAATTATTTTTTTAAGTTTCTGTTTATTTAGTAATCTCTACACCCAACACGGAGCTCAAACTCATGACCCTGAGATGAAGAGTTGTGCACTCTTCCCATTGAGCCAGCCGGGCAACCCCAGGTAACTAACTTATAATTATTAATAGCACCCCTTTGTATTCTCAGTAGGAGTCGATTTTGGAGGATAAGTAATAGGGTCACCCTGCACAGCTCAGAGCTGTCTCAAAGGCTGTGAGGTCCTTTCCCAAGGTCTAGAAACGCTTCTGGAAGAGCGACCATTCATTTAAAAAGGAATTACTTTGGCACAGTAGGCACAGGGCTAGACAGGGAATATAAAAGGGGTCAGGGTTCCTATATATGGTCCAAATATAATATGGTCAGGGTTCCTAATCTCAACGGAGCTTACAATTTGGTAGGGAGGGAGAAGCTAATAACTAATAAAGACATAAGAGATGACAAGGGCTATGGTAAGAGCTGTATGCCGTGGGAGAGGGGACCTTATAGCGGTTAGCAAAAAGGGATAGAGGGTTACTGAATTTTTACCTGAAGTCTTGAGCTATTTAAAGAATGAAGAAGAGCAACCCATGCACTGGAACAGCATGTGCAAAGACTTTGAGGCAATATAGGAATGACAGGAGGCAGAAGAGCAAAAAGCTGAACAGGAAAGTGAAGCTGGAGAGCAGACTGGGTTTATAGTTAGGAAGTTTGGAATGCTGACTATATTGGTTTGCTAGGGCTGTCATAACAAGTTACTTTTAATTCAGTTGTTTAAAACAAGAGAAATTTATGGGGCATCTGGCTGGCTCAGTGAGACTGAGCTGGCTGGCTCAGTCACAACTCAGGGTTGTGAGTTCAGCCCCACAATGGGTGTAGAGATTACTTAAAAATAAAATATTTTTTAAAAAGAGAGAGAAATTTATTCTCTCACAGTTCTGGAGGTCAGAAGTCTAAAACCATGGTGTTAGTAGGACCACACTCTCTAAAGGTTCTAGGAGAGAATCCTTCCTTGCTTCTAGTCAGTCTCAGGTGCCTCCAGGCATTCCTTGGCTTGAGGCTGCATATTTCTGTTCTCTGCCTCCATCTTCACATGACCTTCTTTTCTGTTTTATAAGATTACTTGTCATTAGATTTAGGGCCCACCCAAAGAATCCAGGTTTATCTCATGTCAGGATCCTTAATTGTAGCTACAAAGACCTTTTTTTCCAAATAAGGCCATATATCAGGATTAGGGTTTGGACATTGCCTTTTCTGGGGCCACCATTCAACCCACTATACTGACCTTCTGGAGAAAAGAGGCTTGACTTTGTGGGAAATGAGTCATTAATAAACCTATTGCCTGATATATTAAGTAGGGTAAAAACTCCATTAAACTATGAATTTACTTAGTTAAAAATATATGTATTTATATGTCCATAATGTAAATAGGATTTTTTCTAGCTGAAGGCATTATACTCTGATTTTTACTTTCTTTTCCTTACCTTTGATACTGTCAGATTATTATTTTTAAAATCCTTTTTAAAATCAGAAAAGCCTGGGGCGCCTGGGTGGCCCAGTCTGTTAACATCCGACTTTGGCTCAGGTCATGACCTCCTGGTTCAGGAGTTGGAGCTCCATATCAGTGTGGTGCTGACAGCTCAGTGCTTGGAGCCTCCTTCGGATTCTGTGTCTCCCTCTCTCTATGCAAACTTCCCTGCTCACACTCTGTCTCTCTTTCTCAAAAATCAATAAGCATTTAAAAAAATAATAACAAAATAAAATTGGAAAAGCCCGAGAAAGCTCTTTGCAGTTTGAAAAAAAGCTTTTGTAGGAGTACATGAAAAGTCTTACAGTGCATGATGAGTAGGGTTTTTTTTTCTGTTCTATTGCTAGACGTATCTGAAGAAAGGGTTTTAAACTGTGAAAGGAGGATCAGTTAGAAACTTGAACTTTAAAAGTAGCTGGAATTGATTTCAAGTAAATTGTAGAAATGGTAACTGAGATGGGCATGTTAAGTAGCTTGACTGTAGTAATTATTTCACTGTGTATACATCTCAAATAATCATGTTGTACACCTTAAGTATGTATACTTTTTATTTAATAAGTTAATTTAGTTGTGGAGCCATAATTATTTATATTACATAAAAAGGTATGCATTTCCTGTTTCCAAATATAAAGTGTAAAGAAGTGTCCATAAGCTGCTTTCTAGTTGGAAGGCCTACAGAGGGACATGGTCAAGAATGGACAGTGAAAGAAGGTTATACAGTGGTAGGCTTGGGCAGTGTCTTGACCAGGTCCTCAAACCAGTTGAGACAAGTAACTGATGAAATGGTACTTTGTCTTTTCCTTGGCATTTTGGGGTACTCTTAAAGCAGTGGGGAAAAGGTTTAAGTCAAGACTAAATGCCCTGCCTGTCACCAGACTCACAAACATTTATAAATTTACCCTAAGTCCTAGAATTCAGCTAGGTGCCATTCAGTAAATCAGTCATTGCTTTCTTTACCAATGGTATCCCACAGGCTTGGGAGAGTTAATGTTCTCTCTAAATTGCCAGAGACTTCCCAAAGAGTATACCAGTGGCAAAAGCTGACAATTGTTTAATAGCTATTGCCCCTCTTACAGCAGAGTTTAATATACTTTTTTTGCAGCAACTACTGCTTTCCATTTAGTACATTTTATTGTGGTTTTTGTTTGTTTGTTTTTGACAGAGCGCAAGCCAGGGAGTGGCAGAGAGGGGGACAGAGAATCCTAAGTAGGCTCTGCACCAACAGCAGCAAGCCCCATGTGGGGCGCTATTTAATATTTTACAAAATTTAATATATTTTAAAAATTACAGTCTATCCTCATCACAAAAAAGATAATAATTATGTGACACCATAGAGGTGTTAGTGAATGATACAGTGGTAATCACCTTAAAGTATATAAAGGTATAGTACCAACACTTGTACACCTTCAACTTATACAGTATGTCAACTATACCTCAATAAAAATAAATAAAATCAATAAAAGTTACAATCTATGATTTTTCTCCATAAGAGACAGACTTCAACTGGAAAATATTTTAGGAAAATTGATAAGGTTATTTCTATTTTAGATACAATCATTTCTATATCTCACTTTTCAAAAGTAAGTAGATTTTAAACTTTTCATTGAAATCACACTTCCATAAAGAATATGGTAAGAAAAATTAAGAATCTTTTATTCAGCTTGTTAAAATTTGTCTTACTGGACAAGTCTTTAAAATCAATAATCTAGGGGCGCCTAGGTGGCTCAGTCAGTTAAGCATCTGACTTCGGCTCAGGTCATGTTCTCACAGTTCGTGGGTTCGAGCCCGTGTCAGGCTCTGTGCTGACAGCTCAGAGCCTGGAGCCTGCTTTGGATTCTGTATCTCTCTCTCTCTCTCTCTCTGCCCCTCTGCTGCTCTCTCTCTGTATCTCTCTCAAAATAAACATTAAAAAAATGTTTAGAAAAATAAAATCAAATCAATAATCAATAAGTTATGTTTAAAGTAGAGGCATATAACTTATTCCAAATGCTTATTCTTGAGCCCCATCTCTGGAGATTTCTGACAGCTAACTTGTTGTCATTTAGAATATGAGCACTTAGGACTTGCCTTCATGCTCCACCTACCTGCCCACTAAGGCAGTGGGCTCTCTTAGCTGGCTATCTCTTCTACTCTTTTTGTGACTTTGGAGCATCTATTCCAAATGATAGACAGAAGAAG